CCATATGCAGCATGCACTGATGCTCGCGATGTGCACAAGCAAGCTTTGTGTGCGCTGCACGCTGTACATGTACCCATGCACGTGCTCCCAAGCAGAAACGCAGGCCATGGATTGCCTCTGACACTCAACCAGGAAGTCTATGCGTCCCACATGCTCACGGCTCTCAAGCTGGAAGATCACCACGTCCCCCGGGGAGCAGTGGAAGCCTCCACCGTGCATGGCGCTTGCAGCCTGGAAGACGGGCGCTTGGCTCTCCAGCGATTGCTGCACAAGCTCCTTCAGCTTCTTGCTTGCCGCACGTTTGTGAAGCAGGCGTGGCTCTCGACTGGGAAGCTCTTCATCTAATGCTTCCAGTTGCACGGCCAGAACATCTTGAAGCAAACTGGACTCAAATGACGTAGACGAGTGCATTTGATTGCTGAATCTCTTCAGGATTTTGTGTTTTCGTTCCTGAACGAAGCAACTCATCAACAGACCGTGTCTTCTGAGAAATTCAGAGAGATGTAGAGCCATATGATTTTTTGGCACCCATATGTCACTGCCGTATGTGTCCTGCAGGCAGCGTGAGTGTTGCACGATGGCTGTGTGCAGCACATCTGGATGAACAGGTTCACCGCGCGTGGCCTGTTGCAGAAGATCCAGAACCTTGCACAAGAGGAAAAAACATCGCACAGGCTGTTGAACTTCTTCGGGCCCATTGTTCACGACAAAGAGGAGGATGAACAGTCGCAGCACTGGCAGAAAGTTCAGCTGCTCCGACGCTGATCCCTTCAGAGGCGAACTCTTATTCTCCCTTTTCTGCAGCAGCAGCCCTGTTGGCTTCGAGCCAGCAAACTGCGCAGGCCACTGAAAGGAGTCTAAAAACTCCGAGATTTGCTTTTCCCGGAATCCTGCATCTCGCAGGTGACCTAGCAGCGCACCCACTTCATTGCCTGCAACGCCATGCACAAGATATATATGGAGCCAGTCATACATCACGGCTTCGGGTATGGCATAGCCAACGTGGTTGTCGCAGAGCAGCCCTTCGGCTTTGAAGTTAAACCCCAATGCCTTCTCAAGTTCGCTGAACTGGCTCCTGGTGAGAAGTCCGCTCTGCTCCTGCAAGTAGTTCACCAATCTGCGGGTCGTCTCATTGGTGTGAAGTTTAAATCGCGACACATCCAAGCAGAGAGACGACAGCACGTCATTGGAAGCCTCGCTGAGCCCGCTGCGGGCAGCAACAACGTTGCTGCACTGCACGCAAAAGAGCGTGCCACTCGCCCCCTTGTTCTCTAAGCTATGCTTGATGGCAGCCTCATCTGCTATCAGGGCCGCTAGCCTTGCAAAGAGAACTCGAGAGCCGGCCGGGGTCTGAAGGATGAGACCTGCGTGCAGATTGTGAGGTCCTTCGCAGAAGAGCCTCATCATGTGCTTCCAAAGCACAGTCAATCCGCCGATCTCGGAGCAAAGGTGTGACCGCAGGCAACACAAGGGGAACCACAGTGTTTCGCACGATAAGCCATGAGCACCGAAGTTCTTCAGGCTCCAGTAGATTGCTTGTTGCCTCCTCCAATTAACAGGATTCAATGCGTTGCCAGGCGTGATTTCGTCGGCATATACGCACAGCCCCCAAGGGGCTTCGTACGTGGAGGGGCATTCCAGCAGCTTGAGGCACAAGAAGTGCCCGAAAGTCGGTTGCTGGGCGATGTGCGCAAGCAGTGCTGCTGGAGCAATATAGGGCAAGTTCACAGTCCTGCCCGACCCATCCTCATACTGAATGTGCGTCTCCTGGATGAGACTCCCATATTGCGTTGCTTTGGCAGCGAGATCATCATTCCTGGCTCTCTTGATCGATTTTCTGGAGGACGCCACGTCTTTGGTCAACAGGCCACCTTCTTGAAGCTCCTTCAGAACATGCTCCAAGCCACGCTGCGAGACGTACACTTTGCGCCCCAAACTCGACAGATTAAAGCCGCTCGAAGAAGTCGCCATGCGTG